AAGTACCATTAATTCTAGGTAATAAGGTCACAAACATTCTATCTCTAACTGCCCCTCTTTCTCACACTCATTCCATCCACCCAATCAACTGGAACTAACACTTTAGACCAATGGTTACAACTTTTTTGACTATATTTATGTGGGCCAAGATATCTTTGTTCACGTAACAGTTTTCCAGAGGGTAAGCATAAGTACAGTAACTATATATATCCCCACAGCACAGAAGAAAATTTAAGAGAAATAAGGAAAGATTCTAAGATTAAAACTCAAAAAAACCAATAATTTGTAACTATTTTTTTGGTCATGACACTTCTCTCAAGAAAAACATGCACACATGCAAAATTTTACATAGAATTTCAGAGTGTGCAGATATCCTCAGGCCTACCCATGATTTAACAAGCTCTTTTATAGACTGTTTTCTGCACATCTATGAGCCATCACCTTTCCTGAATCTCATGGTTTACCAAATACCAGAGTAGGAAAACATGATTCATGCAGGAACCATTTGCATTCCATTAAGTTAATAAGGTATTCTGACTATATTTTCAGTCTATCAGAGCTTATACTTGATTTTCAATAAGAGTATTACTGTATTTTTTTAAAAGGGACACATGTCCTCTCGATGCAATAAAACTGATAAATTCATATAAAAGTCTTCCTTTGATCATTTCAACAGCTAATCCATTACTGCCACCAATCTGTGGTTTATGGAAGACTCTGGCTTAAAATATCATTTCCTCAGGATTTATGGCCCATCCACTATATTTACCATGCGTTAATAAGCCACAAATACCAGATTTTCAAGGTCAAACCAATCTGATTAGTATTTTTTTCCTCAGAGTTTCTCCTAAGAATTTTACCTATTCTAGACTAATCTGTAGTAAAGAGTAAGTCTGTACTTTAAGGCAGAGGAGACTATGGCCAGAATCTGGTCTATCACTTATTTATGTGAATATTGGTGAACTACTTAAGCCCTCTGAAATTTAGCTTTCTTATGAGAAATAATATTATTATTATGAGAATAATATTGACCATACAGAACTACTGAGACTATTAAATGAACACTCTTAAAAGATACCAAATTTTGGTTAAATCCTCCTTTCACCTAAATCTACAGCTAAACTGTTTGATCCAAATATCTAGCCATAACCACTTACACTGAGTGATACATAGACCCCATAATTTTTGTAACTAGGCCTGCTCATTCTCTCGTGAACAGCAGCCCATCTAGCCACTATTCTTTTCACAGTCTTCAACTGGTATACAAATAGTATCTCAATCTAATTGGATGTATTTCAAAGCCCCAAACATAAAAATAAAACAACCAGTCTCTAAGCATCACTAACACATGGCATCTTCACTCCATACTCTTATCACCTTATTTATTTCAAAGTAACTTCTTTATAGAGAAAAATAGCACACCCATAGCTCAAAACTCATATTCATAACAATGGAAGAAGCAAGTAAAATTCCTTTTTAGAATTTTTGCTAAGTGAGATAGCAGTAAGACATTATTATAGAAAATGTCACTTAATTCTCAGTGGACCAGTCAGGGGTCTGTGAAAACTATTACACTCTTAAGATATATACTCTGGCTTAATTCAATAGAAAGAGAGAGAGAGACAGAGAGACAGAGAGAAAGAGAAAGAAACGCATTTTAAGTTTAGTATCTCTACACAATCCTAAGTTGTGCTTTCTTTGATTACTTCTTGTATAACTGCTACTATCTAGGAATGCCAAGAAATAAGAAAATGGAACTCTTTTTTGAGTTTCTTTTTTGCTTAGAAAGTTTAATTGTCAACTTAACTTGAAGAAGAAGTTATGGATAAGACCACAGAAACTGTTAGGCTGCTCATCACACGAACTTGGCAAATATTTCCAAGAAGAAACCTCCACAAATTTCTTCCTGTCATCTACTGCTTCTTTATCCTTATTCTGGATAGTGTTAATGTGGAAGTAGAGACTAAAGCAGACCCTCAGTGTGCCTGGCAGTGAGCCAAAGGCTTACTATCTTGCAAGAATTGGCATGAAAGAAGGAAACCTGTGGTGCTTACAAAAAAAAAAAAAAAAAAAAAAAAAAAAGCAGCACTCTCTGTAACATGGGGCCAATGACTTGTCACTTTAAAAAACTGAGTAACTGCATTAACCTCCCTACTCCTCTGCTCCCCAGCCCCTCAGGCCAAGAACACACTTTCAGGTGTCACATACTTATATGCAAAGCATAGATACCCATGTCAAGATTTTTTATAGTTCCAGATGATGTTCAGTAAACTGGCTTTGAGCAAAGTAAATTTCTCCCATTTCTCCCCAATAACTTATAACTCCAATGACATTCTTCTCCAGCTACCAAGAAAGTTATAAATGTGCTCTGTGGAGTATCTGACTACATAATGAAGGCCAAAATTAACAAAATATTAGTAAATATATTAATAACATCACAAAATAAAAGCTAAATATGTTAATATACCAAAAGACATTTATAAACTTGATAAATTTTAATATTCACTTCTACTCTCAAAGGAAAAAGCTCAATAAATTAAGAATAACAAAGTATTTTCATGCTGTGATTAATAACCCTTATCTCAATTAAATGATAAAAATAAAATTTAAGATTGAATAAAAATTGAGAGATACCTTCATAATAGTAAAGCATGAGTCAAGAAGCCCTACTACTGCCACTTGTCTAATGCTGTTCTTAGGATTCTCAACCAGAAAGAGTCAGTGAACGATCCAATTCAACAGGAAAAAAAGACAAAAAATTGTTTCCTGAGAAAAAGACTTAAATAAAGAGATATATACCATGCTAATAGTTGGGAGGACTCAATATTGCAGAATTCTTCCAAAACTGGTTTATAAATTCAATGCATTTTGAAACACAAATAATTGACCAACTAATTGGGGAAAGTCAGGTCTCTCTGTAACTCATATAGAACACCTAAACATACAAACAAAACATGGGAAACATATATAAATTCACAATGCATAACAAGTTTACTTTATCAATCAATCACAAATTAAAATGAAATGGCTCTTTTTAATCAAATTGACAAATATGCAGGAAGAAAAAAATACCTAACACAAAGAAATAGGTACTCTCATATTTTTTTGACTCCGAGTTCTAGTTCAGAGAACAATCAAAATTATAACCAATATTTCTAGGAAAAGATATTCACCACAGTGTTATAAATAATATCACCAAAGTGGGAAAAAATGAGACTGGCTTAATAAATTCAAAATATCTATTAAGGAACTTTGTAGCCATAAAAAATTATGTTGTTTGGACACCACAAAATAGAAATAATATGTATTACGTTCTCACATATAACAAACCACATATTTTGTGTTTAATACTATATGCACATTCATAGGAAAGAAAACGATCACAAGGAAATACACACAGCAAGGAAACACACAAATCATTTTCAGTGATAACCTTTGGGTATTGACATCACATACAATATTTATTTTCTTCAGTATGCTTTCATAAATTTTTCACATTTCCTTCAATAAAAAATACTACTTTTATAATCAGAAAATAACAAATGTTCTTCCAAAGAAATAATCTAAATGCAAAATTTTTGTTCTGAAATCTGTAAGGGTTAAAAACCCTGAATATGACTTTAATTAGAATGTCATTTTTAATGAGAAAAATTATGTGAATAAATGTTGAATGCATCTGAAATGAATATTTACTACAACAATCTCATTTTTCTACATAGCACTACAGAAGTAGCAACCAATGAAATAAAACAGCACATGGTTCATCATAAAATAAGCACACAGGGATAGAAAAGAGGAGGTACAATAGATCAAAGAAAACATCAAAGCTTGTCAACCCAGTAAGATCTCTGTTTGGACTTAACTTTTATTCTTAGTTTTGATATAAACAAAATTCAAATAACTTACTATACAGAAACTTTATGTTTTACTCTATAGCCTACTCTATATATGTTTATATACACATATACATAAGTACTTATATGTGTGTGCACACATTAGAAATAAGTGTTTAAATTTAATCTTTCATATTTAAATAATCTTTACTATCAAAGGTAATAAACAAGGACTTCAAAAATTTAAATACAAGAATATGTTTCTGAAGAAAGGAACCATGACAACAATCCATGTAGTTATCATTAGCTACATTTGAAAGACGGTTCTTACATTATTTTACTAAATAGACACTGGGCTACAGTATTTGACACCCAGAAACATCACTTAAACAAATATAACTTTAGAATATAAGAAAAAACCAGTCTACATGCCTAAATTGATAATTTACTTTGAGATTCATTTCACAAAAGATAAACTTATCATCCAAAAAAATGGAACAAATATACTAGCATCAAACTTTTAAGTTAAGGACAGGATAAAATGTCAAATTATTCATTAATTATACAATTTTTGGACAGGACACAACCAAATATAATCCAAGATATTAAGATCACAGTAACAGAATGAGAGCCAATATCAAAGATGACAAAAGTGTTTGCACACGGACACAAGAGAGTCCACCCAGAACCATGCTGGAATGGAAGATAGACTATGATTTGCCTCCTTCATGAGAAAGACTTCAGTGATTCCTGGGACTACACATCCTTGAATATTTGTGTCTCCAAAACACAATGCTTCGGATAATTTCCCGTCTCCCTTTTACAGTGTATTTTTCCTTCATTACATCTGGAGGAAACCTCAATTAGGAGACAAAAGCCTTTTAAACCCAACATCCCTTAATTTCCTGGGCTCAGGGTGACCTGCACAGCACCATAAAAGGTGAAACCATCCAGAAGCTAGCAGCAAGTATTAGCAGGGAACCACAGGCTACAATATTCAAACCCAGAAATTGAGACTTCACATTTCCCAAATAGCTAAATAATTCCATGTAAATGAGACTTTGCCAGGAAGGATTTTGCCCCACACCCCCAAAAACAATGTAGAACAAAAAGGAAAACTGACAGTAAAAGGGTAAGATGTCTGACTATACTGATATCAGTACTTACGTATCATACCTCTGCAGTGGTGTCACTTTGTTCTTATTCTTATCAACTGAACCCGTAGACAGCTGAAGAAAATTAGGATTTAACTTATATAATTCTTGAAGGAGCTTCTGTTCATATTCTTGGTGCTTACCCGCCTAATGAAAGAAGAAACAAAAACTGCAGTGGAATTCACAAAATAACTGGTATAAAGCAGTTACCTTTTCAATTATTAAAGCTATCCTAAAAAAAACATGAGTTTTTCACAGAATCAGGGAAACTGATGAGGAAGATGTCACAAACTCCTAGACCAATGAAAATTATTCCAACAAAATTATAAGATATATATTCCATAAATTAAAGTAAAGCATCTATCAACTCCTTTACTGAACAGCATATTAAGGAGAGAACATCTCCGGCTAACTCAAACAACTAGGCCAATGTGAAGCCTACTTCAAGTCTTTCACATGAGGATTAAGTCCTCGTCTATAGTTACAGACAGTGAGAGAGAGACAGGGAGAAAGGTCTTCCTTCCATTGGTTCACTCCCCTAATGGCCACTATGGCTGGTACTGCGCCGATCCGAAGCCAGGAGCCAGGTGCTTCCTCCTGGTCTCCCATGCGGGTGCAGGGCCCAAGCACTTGGGCCATCCTCCACTGTCTTCCTGGGCCACAGCAAAGAGGTGGACTGGAAGAGGAGCAACTGGGACAGAATCCGGTGTCCCAACTGGGACTAGAACCCAGGGTGCCAGCGCTGCAGGCAGAGGATTAGCCAAGTGAGCCACAGCGCCGGCCAAGGATTAAGTCTTCTAATAGGTCTTTAATAAGTTTCCTCCAGATTATACAAAATTGATCAATCTCCTTTTTTATGTTGAAATTAACAATAAGTAATACACGGATGAACTACAATCTTCATTAGTTTGACACTAAGTGGGAAAATAAAATCCATTTTTAGTCTCGTCTTTCTTCTGTTACCAAGAGTAAAATAAAAATTAATATATTTAAACTCTAAGCCAATAGTCAGCAATTTACAGTCATCTGTTTTTGTAAATGAACATATTTTACTTATTTATTGCAACATATTCACACTCATTTACATATTGCCTACGGCTATTTTACTGCAAGTCAGAGTGCAGGGTTTTTTTTAATAATTGACTCACTGACTGACTGACTGATTTGATAAACACAGAGACAGAAAGAGACCTTGCCGAGCCGAAACCAGGAGGCAGGAATTCCATCCACATCTCCTTGGTCGGTGGTGGAAACCCACGTAGTCAGACCATCACCTGCTGCCTCCCTGCTGAACTACCAGGAAACTAGATTGGAAGAACAAGTGGGACCTGATCCCAGGTACTCCATTAGGGGTTGCTGGCATCACAAGTAGCCTTATCACTGTGCTACAATGTACCCCCTAGAATGCTTTTAACAATAACCATACAGTCTCAAATCTTAAAATATTTACTAACTGGCCTTTTACAGTAAAAGTTTGCCAACTCCTACTGTACACTCAACAAGAAAATATAAAAGGTAAAGGTCACGGAAAATGGAATTTATAATATATTTATTTTGATACGAAAAAAATCTGAAACCCATGCATTTATGGTGAAGAATCTTCAAAAAGTTCAGGGAAAGTATGTATTATGAAAAAAATAAAGCATATATTTCAAATATATTTAACACCAAAATAAACATTTTTAATTACATTTCCCACAAATATTGAAGTACTTTTGTAATAGAGTTGGGTAGCTGTATTTCAGAAAGTAATATCACAAATTCTATGGGAGAAATTATGCAAAGATTGACTGCAGAAGCTAATCACACACCAATATAAACAGTAACGAATTTACTTTTTACTATTTGGCATGTATATTGTAACTAGAAAGACATTTTTACTTACCTTCAAGGATGTTAGTTATTTTAAAACTATGATTTAAATCTATGTTATAGCAAAACCAAAGTGAAACAGATCAAAACAAAAGCAATACAACAATAACAAGTAAGGGCGATATCACTGAACTGTGCACAACTGTATCATGAACACTGCACAATGCATCGTTCCCTGTACCTGCTTCAATATAAATATTCACTGTTACTAAATTTCAAGTTATGCAGTAATTAGAAAAAATTTTCTGATTTTTGTCATAATGTAATTTATTCAAATTTCCTATCTACACTCAGGAAGTGTTTTAACAAAGAAACCCTTTACAAAGTACCTTCAAACTCATGTGATTAAGATGAATTCAGGACACTGCCTTGAGATGAATTTTAAATTAAGAAAAAACATATTTAGATGTGGATTCTACATCTTTAAAACATGAAAAGTCTTGAAGATTCTTCCTGCATTCAATACTTCAGGAGGCATTAGGGCTTTCTTTAGCCAAAAGCTCAACCTGATGTTCAAAGGCCTCTACAGGGGCAGTTCATAAACACAAGTCAAATCCCATTACAAAGAAGTTCCAAAGGATTTTCCATACATTAAAAAAAATTGTTTAGTAATACTTTAAATGAGATCAATGAGGGTTTAGAAATACTTTGACAGAATTTTCATTTTACCTGTAATAGTGTATGTGAATAGAAAAAGTGTACCTTCTACTAAAGTTCAAATTGAAATGATTTTACTTTTTTGAGTGACATCCACAATTTAGCAAACAAAAAATAAGCATTTATCGGACAAGAGTTCAGCAAGTCACCCATCACTGTCTCGAACTTTAATACTGTTTTTGAATCATTAAAATTCTACTTTCAAGAAACTTTAATGTATTTATTATAATGGGATTTAATCTGTACTAACTCCAAGTCAAAGAAAAAAAAAGGTAATACTTCATCTTATTTAACAATCTGCTCTTAAAGGAGCCTCTACCAGGCTTTCTTTATCAGGACCTGCAGAATGAAAGGTAGCAGTGAATGCCCCCCACCTTCTAAAAGAGAAGTATTCCTGCAAAAGTCCACAGCAACAATCTGAAGTCCTCATCTACAACAGGGAAGTGCAGCATTGTGCTTTGGTATAATCCTCATTTAATAGGCCGAATGGTCAATATTTTTACTTGTAAATACATGTTTATACTACAAATTGAAAGGAGACAGGAGAAGAGGAGATGTGAAAAAGTACACAGGATATAGTAAGTCTTCAATTCACCCTTTATAGGATACTGACTTGATGGACACTTTGATGGGACAATCATTTCATAAAAATGTTTGCTTATTAACATCATTTGATAAAATACTATATATAGCATGTTCTATATAGAGTAGACATTGGGAGGGAAAAAAACTAATACTTACAGTATTCCACTTAGCCTTCATTTTGCTGACATTTCCCTTAAAGCAGCATTTCCCAAAGTGTTTACCTTGATCATTTAAGTTCTGGCTGTATGCATCCCTCTCAATTATCCCTTTCTTGGATACGTATTAGCCTATTAAAGACTCTGAGAAGCATCAGAGTAAAGAAATCTGTTTATCTTCATTAACCTAGCATTTTTAAACTTAGTTTGAACCACAAATCCATTTTTTTAACAATATCTGCAGAATGGACATTCCATGGAACATTCATTTAGAAAATGCTACTTCAAAGTAATACTGGTCACTAGAAAATTAAATACCTGATTTTTGTTTTTGTAATTTTAACAGATAAATAAAAAGTACTCCCTTTTCTGCAAAGTTGATAAATCACATGACTTTACTACCTGCATTTCCTCTTTTGTGAAGCTGGCCGCCTCATCTCCCAATTCATGTAGATACATGCAGTCAGGTTTTGGACATTGCATATTCTTTAAGAAATAACTGCAGTATTTTGTTGTACCTAGAGATGCCTGTGGGAAGAAGAGGGGTAGGGAAAAGACGACTCAAAACATAAACTGATACCACATTCAGAATTCCCATGTTTAATATTTTTAGATCACCTAAAACGAGGCACAAAGGTGACAAAACAAGAAGCATGGCTACAAAGGAGGACTGAACTATTACTAGCAGAATTTATTATAGACGATGGTCATTTGGAAGAACTAACGAGAACCTTTCAGCCTATCGTTTCTAGAACTTGACACCCAAATCTTCTTCCCTAGACACCAGGAGAAGAGACAAAAATCAGTTCTATGTTATAAAAGGCTCAGAACACCCCCACCCCCCAAAAAAAGCAAATCCAGTTTATCAAGTTCCAATTTCTAACTCATTCATCAAGCACTGCTTGTTGGAACCTTTCACTACAACCTGACTCAACATCCAAATAGTAAGGACAGCAAATGAGAACCATTATCTATTTCTGATGGGAAGAATAATGGTTCCTTTTCATAAAGTAAGATATATGTAAGAATAGGATATTTTAAAAGATTATTCCCTACAAATGAATGTGTGTTTTCCAACCTGGTAAAACAGGACCCTCCATAAGTCAGAAGTCAACAAATTACCTAGCACAGGTTGGTAGGAGTACCCTAAAAACAATAACTACCATCAAATTTAATATGCAGATGCCAAGTTTTCCTCTACTTACTACATCTTATTTTCCTTATTAAAAAAGTAGGGCTGGGGGGGAGAGAAGAGGACAATATTACCTTAAGTGTTCTGCCATCTACCACCACGTTGTTGACACATTGTATGGCTCTGAGGGCATCTTCTGACCGGATATAGGTTACATAAGCACTGGCACTTGGACCCTAAATGAAACCATCCCAATCAATTGGTATTGCAGTTTCAAATTAAATAACAGTAGAAAAAAGAAAATTCTCCTGCATTCTGCATAAGGAATTTTAAAGGTCTTTATTACTACTACTATTAATAATAATGACAACAATTAGAAGCAGTTTAAATTAAACACTGTACCAGCTCATTTAAAAGCAAACATACGGGGCCGGCACTGTGGCACACAGGTAAAGCCACCGCCCGCAGTGCCAGCATCCCATATGGGTGCTAAATCGAGTCCTAGCTGCTCCACTTTCGATTCAGCTCTCTGCTAATGAGCTTGGGAAAGCAGCAGAAGATAGCCCAAGTCCTTGGGTCCCTGCAACCATGTGAGAGACCCGGAGGAAGATCCTGCCTTCAGATAGGCCCAGCTCCAGCCTTTGTGGCCATTTGGGGAGTGAACCAGCAGATGGAAGACCTTTCTCTGCCTGTAACTGCGCTTTCCAAATAAACAAATCTTAAAAAAAAAAAAAAAAAAAAAGAGCAATCATGCTTAATGAACTTTATCTGATTTTAAGTAGACTATTATACACAAATAACATCCTTCTCTTGTCTTTTATTAAAGTAAACTAATATTTGTAAATAAAAGATCATCTTTGCCGTGTAAAGGTTATAAAACATTTTGAAAAGATTTAAAAAAAAATCTCCTTGTCTGCCTTGCAAATAAAAATAAATAAGATTTATAGACACTATATCAAAATATCTCTCAAAAATAATCTTCAACATTATTCTGTGAATATCAACATAAGGATGCTCCTTTTTAACACCTTGAAACCATTAATTATAGACCATTATCTAATATTATCAGATTATCTAATATTACATTGAAATCATTAATTATAGACCATTATCTAATATTATCAGATTATTATTATTATTAGATTGAACTCCCCTTCCCCTTTATGCCATCATTAATCTTTATTTTACAATTTCCCTCTTATTACCAATTCAGTTCAAGTCCTAGAGGGGTCAAATGAACACCAAAAGTTCCCCCAACCCACCAACAGAGGTCACTACACTGCTTAAGTCCTTGACCCTTAGGCTTTCTAATCACAGAAAACAAATTTTCCTTATAAACAGCCCAGGTCAAGCCAAGACCACAGGGAAGAAAGGCAAAAATCCCAATAATTAGTTACCTGTGAGCCTGCATATGAAGTGCTATTATTGATGACAACTTTGTGTATTTTACCAAACTTCCCAAAATACTCTGGTCGTTTTAAAACCTACAAAACAAGAAGAAATAAGGCATCAACTTGTCCCAATTTTCAACAATTTTATCCATATAATGGGAACATATATCATTCCTTATTATATCCCTCTTCTTTGAGAGGAAAATAGAGAAAAATAGTTAATTTTAAAATTTTTCTAATATACGTGTCATGGTGGCTATCCGACAGCAAATCAACAAGTCATGTTTAAAAGCTATTCTTAAGCTATTCCTTTTTAACGCACTGTAGAAACTGAAACCGAGTTTACTATCAACTATATTCTAACACTAACACCAATAACCTGCGGTAAAAAGATATTCACTACACTGACATTAACAGATGATTTTTATAAGAAAGTCATTCTTAGGGCTGGTGTTGTGACGTACCGGGTAAAAGCCAGTAATGTCAGCATCCCATATGGGCGCCTATTTGAGACTCAGTTACTTCACTTCCAATTCAACTCTCTGCTATGGCCTGGGAAAGCATCAGAAGATGGCCCAAGTCCTTGGGCTCCTGCACTCACATAGGAGATCCAGAGGAAGTTCCTGGCTCCTGGCTTCAGATTGGCCCAGCTCTGGACATTACAGCCATTTGGGGAGTGAATCAGTAGATGAAAGATCTCTCTCTCCCTCTCTCTCTTCCTCTGCCTCTGCCTCTCTACTCTGACTTTCAAATAAATAAATAAATCTTTAAAAAAAAAAGTCATTCTTAAAACACTAACCAAAATTATGTAGCAGAGATCGTCTCTACTCATAGATCCATGATAGATAGTAACATTTGATGTGTTATGTGAAGACATTGTTATAAGCTACAAATTCCAAATCAAAGAGTGCCACCTTAACCTTCTATGTTTTCTGATGCAGTTTCCCACAGAAATTAATTTTACTTTTTTCAGCTGTCTCATGGCTTTTCTCTTTTTCTCGTTTCCTGGTAAGTAACTTTTGGGAAACACATTTGTACATCTCCTTTCATGGGTCACTTCCTAGCAGTTATTTTCCCTTTCACTGCCTTACCTTCTTCACTTGGTGAATCACTGTACATTCTTTCAGCTTCTCTTGCAAACTCATTTAACCTTGATTAATTTGACCAGTATGTAAATTGGTACAAAAACCTCTCCCATGATTTGCAACTACCTAAAAATAAATTTTATTGTTTTCTAGAATAACAGACCTGCCGTGCCTTCTACCTGTCCAAACTGTAGTGTCTCTCAATGAACATTTTCTGCATGCACCTGTTCCAGTTCCTACAAAATACTCGTTTTTCCACTTACATCTGATAGTATTTTCACATATCTATGATTTAACTAATTGAAATATTTAGCAAAATCTGGTAGAACTAAAACCTGATGAAATAGTCTTTGGCTAGTTTATCATTAATTCTTAACAATCTTCAACCTAATAAATGTAAAAGACTTAATCTTGACAATTTTTAGGTCTTTATATGTACACCACTGTTACGTTAGCTACAACCAATTCTAACAGATTAAAAGGTAAAGAGATTATATTGGTTTTTAATCTTCTTTCCACCTAAATGCTCTGAGAGATATGATTTGTAGCTAACAAAATGACTGAGATTGTCCATAGTGAAGTCTCAGGGTTGGAGTGCAGTGAAGAGTATAGTTTGAAAAAGTTTTCTGGCCAGTGGAGTTTGATACTACATTCAATAGTTCAGGTGAATGTGCATCAACTCAGCAAATAGCCTCACAGCTGAAATGCCTGCTCAAAGGGTTCAGGCTGGACACATGCTCTCTTATCTTACATCAGCATCTCTTACCATGCATGAATTCACAGCAGTTATCAAAAAGTAGAAGTACTTAAGGAAGCATTTTAGAAATTTGTAGGCACTTTCATGGGGAGACACTGTTAAAGTGACTGGAAGATACTACCAGCATGCACAAGTTGGGAGCCAGGGATGACTTAAAATGCTCAGGCTGGCACTGCACAACAAAGAATCATCCTGTACAACTTTTAAATGTCTTATAACATACTCATGTAGCCGAGAAACCTGTTTAAGTGAACTAGAAACAGATTCTATATTATGTATAAACACAAAGTACTTTCCCAGTTTTGACATACATTAAATGTAGCAGAAGCAAATAATATGTAATTAATGGAAGACCACATGTGCTTTGTTTGAAGTTGTACTGAGAGTTATTTCAGGAAAATCACATCATTGACATTTCATGATACCTGAGTTGCCAATACCTACACCTATAACAATCTGAATTTGCAGCTGTCACATTACATGAAAGAATCAACAAAAAGGCACAAGTATCTTACTAATTGATGAAACAGTGCAAAGAACTTAAACATACATACATTATCATCTAGTTAAAATGAAGGTTCAGATTCAGTACATCTAAGGCAGGGGTGGACAATCTGCAAAAATCAGCTGCCAGTGACACTAACGTTCTGGTCCAGAGACCATATCTTCAAGACCATATCTTCTAGAGTGGCTGTGCGAGAACATTTCCATGCAGACACAGTCTTTTTAAAATTGTTTCCCTTTTATTTCCTCTTTATTATCTTGAAGTCACTTCACGATAATTAAGAGATGTTATAAAACATAAGCTTTGAAAAAGCAGGCACAGAGGGGCCAGCGTTGTGGTGCAGTGGGTTAAGCCACTGACTACAACACCAGCATCTTCTATCAAGTGCCATTTAGAGTTCCAGCTGCTCCACTTTCAATCCAGATCCCTGCTAATGCTCCGGGAAAGGCGCAGCAGATGGCCCAGGTGGTTGGGCCCCTGCCACCCACGAAGGAGACAAGAATGGAGTTCCTGGCTCCTGGCTTCAGCCTGGCCTAACTTTGGCCACTGTGGGAGTAAACCAGTGTATGGAAGATCTGTCTCTGTCTCCCTCTCTCTGTCACTCTGCCTTCCAAATGAATCTTTAAAAACAAGACAAAACAAAAACAGTGAGCACTGAACTGATAAGGCTGATAATCAATGGTTTATGGAAACAGTTTTTAGCGAACATTTGGTGTAACATAATTACACTGCCATGTCTACTCTGCAGTCAGAATGGTATTTTCACAGCCTAATCTGGGCATGTCATTGTTTTAAAGGACATAGATCAACCTCCCACTCTCCTTAGCAATGGTTAAAAAGCCTTTCATGATATGCTATCTCTCACCACTGCACTCTAATCTTCCAACCAAACAATTTCACTTGCAGATGGAGGTTTTTCCCATCCAAAAGTTACTGTGCCAGAAGCATTTTACCCCAAAGACAGCAGAGGACAGCATACCTTGTACCTCCCCTCCAAGGTCAACTGCTATCCTCTGCGGCTACACAGCACACAATATTTCTCATACTGTACTGTTCTTTCACAAATAAGCCATCTCATTTATCAGAGTTTGTTCAGTGTCTTAGACAAGGCCCCAGCACATTACAGGTATTCAAAAAATGCTTACTGAAAAACTGGCTTAACATTGAATATAAAGAATTATATGGTTATGTAATACTGGTGGCCTGATAGTACTAACAAATGGCTAGTAGTTGAATAGGCTACCTAGACAAAAGAAATTAAAATAATGTAAACTTCATGTTAAATTCAACACTACAGATTCTGTCTAAAAAACTACCAAAAATAGTTTTTTAGAAAGGATGGGTGTGTGTGTGTGTGGACAGAGCACCCTGAACATCAACTCATATTCCATACACTCAATGTCTTGGGTTTACTTCAGAACAAACCGGTTTTAGAACGTGAAAGGCCATCTGGCAAAATTATAAGCAGCTAAGTGATGTGTCTTAATAGTTAAAATGTCTTCTATATATTCATTGGGAATACATTTATGTATTCATGGACACTAAAGACAAAAGCAAAAACCTGGTAATCAGAAGAATGAGTAGATAAATCAAAGAATGGATGAACAGCCAATCATCATTATAGAACACCACACTGGAATAGGAATTCTAAGACCACTCAACTATCCTTTGCCTCATTCCTCATTTGTAAAAAATGTTTATGCCTTTAAAGTCCTTTAGTTCCTCAAACAAGATGCTCTCGTGGGCTTCCACACATACTTGGGACACTACTGTCATCCATTCTCAGACTAGTGCCTCATTAATTTTTCAAGCCTATAGCAATCTTCCTTTCCTCAAGGAAGCTTTTTGTCAAACTATACCAGCTAACTATCCTATGAGTGCCCTTTACATATGTATAGAACAAATGTAACCGTTCCAATTCTGTCTTCCCTATTAGTCTGTTAAATTAAAAAGGGAAAGAGCCTACACCAAGCTTCATAGCTAATGCATCTGAGCATCAAAGTTTCCAGCACAGGGGACTCAAAATATTCAGTAATTAATGTGGAGAATGAATACCTAGATTCTTATAAATCTAAACTTTGAGGACTTAGTAGATCATCATCACCATCTCTAATACAATCATTGCTTCTAATTACAGTATCTTTTCAGATTTTTTTGTATCAGCCAATAAATGATTATATTTGGCAATCTTTGTATGATGCTATGATGTTTTCTGGCATATAAAATTTATTTTCACAATAAGCTTTAACTATTCCTAAACTTGCCTTTGTTAATCAGAATATAGTGAAATATCAACTTGTTCATCAAGCAAATATAAGTAAATTATAGGGGCTGGCGCTGTGACATAGCAAGTAAAGCCACTGCCTGAAGTGCTGGTATCCCATGTGGGTGCTGGTTCGAGCCCTGGCTGCTCCACTTCCGATCCAGCTCTCTGCTATGGCCTGAGAAAGCAGGGGAAGATGGTCCAAGTCCTTGGGCCCCTGAAGCTTCTAGCTTCGGATTGGCTCAGCTCCAGCCATTGTGGCCGTCTGAGGAGTGAACCAATGGATGGAAGATCTCTCTCTCTCTGTCCCTGCCTCTCTGTAACCACCTTTCAAATAAGTAAATAATTTTTTAAAAAAAATAAGTAAATTATAGGGATCTTCTCTGACTTGAAAGATGTAATAACAATTTGAAACTTTTGAATACTCTAATGAAGTCAACTTTAAGTTTTTAAAGCAGAAAAAAAGTTATACAAATGAATTAAAAGAATTTTAGAGAAATTTAGAGTGGTAATATTTTATAAAAAAAAAAAAAAAAGGATTTATCTCTGTTTTTTCCCTAAGGTCTCAAGAGAATAAGTGAGATCAACATTTCAGAAAATTCACTGTCTTCTTATCAAGCAACAATGATTTTGAAAGTGTAAAAATAGTAATGTGTATATATATATACATACATATATATGTATACATATATATATGAGTGATCTTCAAAAAGTGCATGGAAAAACTGTATTAAAAGATAATGGCAGTGCCAGTACTGTGGCATAGCAGGTAAAGCCACCACCTGCAGTGACAGCATCCCATATAGGTGCCTCTTTGAGACTCGGCTACTCCACTTCCAATCCAACTCTATGCTATAGTTTGCAAAAGCAGCAGAAGATGGCCCAAGTCCTTGGACCCTTACACCAGCGTAGGAATCCTCGAAGAAGCTCCTGGCTTTGGATCGGCATAGCTCCAGTCATTGAGGCCATTTAGAGAGTGAACCAGCAGAGCGAAGACTTCCCTCTCTCTGCCTGTAACTTTCCCTCTCAATAAATAAATAAACAAATCTTTAAAAAAATATTTAATGGCACTATTCTGTGAGGTTTGTGCAGTCTTCTCAGACTCATGATAAAATGCTCTCTCTCATTAGTCACACCTGGATTCGTCTCTTTCTGTGTTAACAGTTCTTCAGATTAATATATAGTTACTTGAAATGGAAATAAGAAATGTTTGGAAGTAATAAAAACTCTGCAAATCAAAGACTTAAAAGAAAAGGTAAGAAAGCTATAACTCAGCCGGTGCTGTGCCTCACTAGGCTAATCCCCTGCCTGCGGCACCGGCACCCCGGGTTCTAGTCCTGGTTGGGATGCCGGTTCTGTCCCGGTTGCCCCTCTTCCAGTCCAGCTCTCTGCTGTGGCCCGGGAAGGCAGTGGAAGATGGCCCAAGTGCTTGGGCCCTGTACCAGCATGGGAGACCAGGAGGAAGCACCTGGCTCCTGGCTTTGGAATGGCGTAGCGCACTGGCCATAGCGGCCATTTGGGGGGTGAACCAACGGAAGGAAGACCTTTCTCTCTGTCTACCTCTGCCTGTCAAAAAAAAAAAAAAAAAAAAATCGAAAGCTATAACTCAAACATCAAATTCACACTATGGCTTCTTTTTTTTTTTGATTATTTTATTTGTTTATTATTATTATTATTATTATTATTATTATTATTATTTTTGACGGGCAGAATGGACAATGAGAGAGACAGAGAGAAAGGTCTTCCTTTGCCATTGGTTCACCCCGCAATGGCCGCGGTGGCCAGCGCGCTGCGACCAATGTGCCGCGCTGATCCGAAGCCAGGAGCCAGGTGCTTCTCCTGGTCTCCCATGGGATGCAGGGCCCAAGGACCTGGGCCATCCTCCACTGCACTACCGGGCCACAGGAGAGAGCTGGCCTGGAAGAGGAGCAACCGCGACAGAATCCGGAGCCCCAACTGGGACTAGAACCCAGTGTGCTGGCGCCGCAGGCGGAGGATTAGCCTAGTGAGCCGCAGCGCCCGCCCACACTATGGCTTAATTTCACCCAGCCTTTGTGCTGCTGCTCCCTGTGCCTCTAATAACTACAGCTGACCAGACCCAAGATATATTAACAAAAACAAGTACGTCAACACTCAAAAGCTGTCAAATCAAGATAAAAGTCCAAATAATTCACTGGAGTAGCGGTTTCTGAAAAGCAAAAGTAGATTTTAATCAAGAAAGTTCGTGTGGAGTGCGTGTTGGGTCTAATAGCTAAACCACTGGATAGGTTCCCACACTGGAGTACGTAGATCAACTCCTGGCTCCAGCTCTCTACTTCAGCTTCTTGCTGACACAGACCCTCAAGAGCAGCAGTAATGGCTCAAGTAATTGGGTTCCTGCCACAGAGAAGACCTGGATTGAGCCACCAGCCCTTGAGAGCATCGGGGCAATGAACCAGCAAGTGAAGAGTTTTGTGTGTCTCTCACTCTCTCTCTTTCTGCCTCTCAGATGAATTGTTTTTAAAAAATTTTTTTTACAGATTAGTGGTAGTAAATGAGAAAGAAGTGCCCTTTGGCTAGAAAAATAAGCAGAGCTGAAAGACTGAAAGGGGAAGGTTAGTGCGAGACTATGGCAGTGTTCAGGAAATGGTAGAGGGTGAGATGGGATTCTGTCTGCTTGGGGAATAAGTATTAGCTTAGGAAGGTTAGTGTGAGACTATGGCAGTGTTCAGGAAATGGTAGAGGGTGGGACGGGATTCTGTCTGCTTGGGGAGTAAGTATTAGCTTAGGAAGGTTAGTGCGAGACTATGGCAGTGTTCAGGAAATGGTAGAGGGTGAGATGGGATTCTGTCTGCTTGGGGAATAAGTATTAGCTTAGGAAACGGAAGAACTGGTTGCTGAAGTTGAGTCATAAACCTAAAATGAGTTCTCTCCTTCACACTTCTTCTTGAAGAAGTCTTTTTCTGTTACATCTCTACATCTAAATCTTTGGCTTTGGAAAGAGTCTGGTCTTCTGAATATTACGTAACCTACTACTGCCAGCCACTCTGAACCAAGGTCCTTAATTCTTGAATTTCCTCCATGTATATTTACCATGATAGATCCTTCTCAGTAATGTCCCTGACTTTCCTCTCTGATGATCCGAAGCTCTGTATAGACTTAACTCATAGTATACTCATCAATAAATACTTCTTATCTTCTGTAAATTATTTTTTTGGAAAATAGATATTAGATCCCTAAAAGTTCTTCCTTCGGGGAATTTAGCATAGTTAGCCAAATCTGAAGACTCCTACCTCCTTAAGTCTCAGACTGGTACCATTACTTTAAAACCTCTCAAGAAGTACTTTTACAAGATCCGCAAAATAGAGCTCTTTCCTACTGAGTAAACATTCTGGCTGTTCATTAGCAACTCTTTGCCTTCCCAACAATCTACTCAGCACCTCATGATATATTAGAAACTAAAAATAAGCAGATGCAAACTCACATACAGAAAGCAAAGTATAAACTCAACATTACTAAGGCTGGCAGTGGAAGGACAGAAAAAGTAGTAATGAACAAAACAGGTAACATCTCTCCTGGCCCAAAATGAACTGTAAAGAACTTAGTCCTTTATTTCACTTCAACAAATTCTCCCTCTTTCTCCAAAACTGGCTTAGAATGAATAAGAGCGATGACACAGTAAAGCAGTAGATCTGTTAAACCAAGAATTACTACTTGTAGGATAAAAAAAATACAAGACTTCAAGAAGTCTCATGGGTTCAAGTAACTGAATCTCCACCCTTGGTCCTCATAGGAGTACAGCTACAGGAAAGAATAAACAGAATATTCATGTCACATGACAGCCTTAACAATGAAATAGATCATTATCCAATATCCAGACTATTATTAGCACTAAAAAATACTTCAGAAATTTCAGTTCAACTCCGTAAGTTTTACAACTGAAGAAACTGAGGCCAAGAAAGATTAAGACATTTGAGACCATAATGGGTCATTATCTTAGCAATTATTAAAAGTACTTTCTTAATTTTACCCAAAGTTTAATGTTTTCAGAGGAATCCTGCAGTTGAGCAGGTCAACTGTGATTTCCACATAAGGTAATAAACCAGAAAAAAAAAAAAATCAAATTCACAAAGAAAACAGAAAACGACTTACCTCTGGGTCTGCCAGGCGCTGAGACAGACCTACAACAAAGACGAGGTTTTTTTGTACAACACGCACACTAGCCAGATGTTTGCGATTCTCTGATATTTTCTGTTTTCTCTCATTTTGCTTCTGTTTTTTCTCATTCTTTATCCTTTGCAGTTCTTCCTGGGAGAGTGGTTTATAAACTGCTGGGTCTTCTGGATATGGCTTTAAGCATAAAACAAAAAGAAATTAGCATTAAGTAAATAAATAAAAAACATGAATAACAATTATCTAATTCTAGATGGCAGGTATGTGATTACAAGGGTACTTCAAAAAGTTGATGAAAAGTTAAATTAAAAGGCAAGTTTGGGGTAGGTGACTGAGCAATCTCATACCGGTAAGCTCAGATCTGACTCAACTCCGCTTCCAGTTCCAACTTCCTGCTAATACTGTGTACAGTGGCAGACTGTAATGGCTCAAGTGGTTGGGTCTCTACCACTCACTTAGGATTCGAGGGCTGAATTCCCAAGTCCTGGTTTGAGCCTGGTCCAGTACTGGCTACTGTGAGCATCTGGGGACTGAATCAAACAGGAGCTCACTAACGTGTGGGCACTCATATTCTCTGTGCCTCATCTGAATGAATAAATATTTATCTTGTACAAAAAATATTGAAATCTATGCATAAGAGATCTTCAAAAAGTTAATGAAAATGAGCATCTCTCTCTCTCTGCCTTTCAAATCAAAAAAACTACACATGAATTATAAAATTTTGCATAAAAATAAACTTATCTTTTTTAATTCCGTTTCCCACAGTATGAAGTTGTCTCCTATTCTCCCTTTTCAGAATGTTCTAACTGCTTAAAATATTTTTATATAATAATAATTAAAATGTCCAATAAAATAGTTCTAAAAATATTTAGTTTTGGAGGGCTTGGCACAGATGACTTTTAACACTAAAACTGAACAACAAAGATTTCAAAGCAAATCAAACAGTATACATCTGTGTATACAGTATACACCGTTTACAGGAAGATTAAGCTTTTAAAGTGCTATGTAAGAGATAAACTACGTTCAGTTTTCTCACCAAAACATGGGTTTTACATGTTAGAATAAAACAGTTAATGACAACCTACTATGTACTAGTAAGATTAATGAAGAAATTCAATTATTTTTTTAAAGATTTTATTTATTTATTTGTCAGGCAAATTTACATTGGGAGAGAAAGAGAGAGAGAGCAAGGTCTTCCCTCCACTAGTTCACCCCCCAAATGGCTGCTACGGCCGGCACCGCACCGATCCGAAGCCAGGAGCCAGGTGTTTTCTCCTATGCGGGTACAGGGGTCCAAGCACTTGGGCCATCCTCCACTGCCTTCCTGGGCCACAGCAGAGAGCTAGACTGGAAGAGGAGCAACCGGGACTAGAACCCGGTGCCCATATGTGATACCGGTGCAACAGGCTGGGGAATAACCTAGTACTCCATGGCGCTGGCCCCTCAATTATTCTTAATACATTTCCAGTCTAAGAGAGATCAATGAGCAAATAAATAACGATATTGAAACTATTATTTCTACACTTAATACTCATGTCACTTTAGCCACTAAATTAAAAACTACACTTCAGGGGCTGGTGCTGTGGCATAGCATGTAAAGCTGTTTCCTGCAGTGCCAGCATCCCATATGGGTGCCAGTTCAAGTCCTGGCTGCTCTACTTCTGATCCAGCTCCCCTGCTAATGCGTCTGGGACAGCAGTGGAGGGTGGCCCAAGTACTTGAGCCCCTCTACCCACACGGGAGACCTGGAAGAAGCTCCTGGCTTTGGATCAGCTCAGCTCCATCCAGCCATTTGGGGCATGAACCAGTGGACACAAGCTCCATCTCTCAGCATCAGCCTTTCTTTCTCTGTGACTTTCAAGTAAAGAAATAAATCTTTAAAAATAAATAAAGCCCTACACTCAAGTATCCCCATATGTAAAAAGAACGCAACAACAAAGGTTAGTATAAGAAAAAATAGGGGTCAGTGTTAAGCCTCCGCCTGCCATGCCAGCATCTCATATGGACAGTGCAGCATCTCATTGGACAACCAGTTTGAGACCTGGCTGCTCCATTTCTGAACCAGCTCTCTCTTTTTTTTTTTTTTTTCAATTTTTTTTTTTTTTTTTTTTTTTTGATAGGCAGAGTGGACAGTGAGAGAGAGAAACAAAGAGAAAGGTCTTCCTTTGCCGTTGGTTCACCCTCCAATGGCCGCCGTGGCCAGTGCTCTGCGGCCGGTGCACCGCGCCTATCCGAAGGCAGTAGCCAGGTGCTTCTCCTGGTCTCCCATGGGGTGCAGGGCCCAAGCACTTGGGCCATCCTCCACTGCACTCCCGGGCCACAGCAGAGAGCTGGCCTGGAAGAGGGGCAACCAGGACAGAATCCAGTGCCCCGAACGGGACTAGAACCCGGTGTGCCAGCACCACAAGGCGGAGGATTAGCCTACTGAGCCACGGCACCAGCCATGAACCAGCTCTCTTCTAATGCACCTGGGAAATCAGTGGAAGATGGCCCAAGACCTTGGGCCCCTGCACCCACATGGGAGACCCAGAAGAAGCTCCTGGCTTCAGACTTCAGCCTGGCCCAGCTGCAGCTGTTGCAGCCATTTGGGGAGTGTATCAGAGGAGAGGAGATCTTTCCCTCTATAACTCTGCTTTTCAAATAAATAAATAAATCTTTAAAAAATGCCTACTTCTATAAAATAATTTTATAAAGCCATTATTTTTGTTACTGGCACATAGTAACCCCCCCAAAATACTCTCAATTTCACTGTTGTAGGTTTTTATCCTTCCCACTAGTGTCCTGCACATAAGCATTCAAAAAGCCAGTTATTATTATAATTAATAAATAATAATAAAGGACAATAGGGCACAGTAAATCCAAAAACATATAAAACTGGACATGAAGAGCTCAGGAATGGAAATCATAATTGGCTGGGAAATTGTGCCTATCAGATATATCCATGACAGGCAAAACACACACACACACACACACACCAAAAAAAAAAGAGGGCAAAGAAAGCTAGAGAGACTATCTAGCAGCCCAAAACTTGATATGGGTTTACCATATTCTGCATCCATTTCTTTACATATTGGAATCAATAAAAAATAAAACCAAAACTCTCTAACTTGAGAATATAACCAGCCTAGTGCTGACAGCAACCAAGAAAGTGAAATTTCCCCTCATATTTCTCAATGTCTAGGTCTCAAACCTCAAGGTCTCAAAAAACTTTGTTGTTTCCCTTTCATGGCAACTTCCAGCTTAACTTACTATTTTTACAGAAAACTTTATAAACCTCACCATATCAAAGAACTATAGCTGGATAGAGAAAAAAGACTCAGACATAACTCATAACAGTCCTGTAGGCTATAAATATCTATACCATTATATTGCCACACTAAGAAATCTGAATCATATAGCTAGCTAATTGGTCCTATTTGGCATATTCTAACCTACTTGTGAATAGGAGGAATATAGAACAATAACATCTCTTTTGCATGATCCTAAGGATTTTCTCCAGGAACAAATATAAAGTTAGTATGGTACTATAAATACTTGCTAAAAGAACACCAAGCTATACTTTAGAATCAGAAATTTAGCCATGCTAATTTTCCAGAAAACTAAAACTCCTATATTTTGGGATTAGAAACTATTTCTTACATTTTAAGGAAACAAATGGTTAAAGATCTATTAAAGACCTTTCTCTCTGTCTTTCTCTCTCACTGTCCACTCTGCCTGTCCAAAAAAAAAAAAAAAATCTATTAAAGTTCAATCCATCAGCTATACAATCTTCCTCATTTAAGTTTTTCTCAATGATTCCTCTCCAAATTTTCTCTATTCTCTACTCACTTTCCCGAACCTCTATTACTTATCTTCTTCAAATCTCAGTCTATCACTGCCTGCTCCTAGTTTTGTTTCAAAGTGTGGTCTATGCTCTGCATTTTACCAATCCATAAGTACAAAAATTGAGAATAAGTAATAATTTGATGTTGCTACAACATTCAAGTACATTATCAGTGAACTCTTCACAGAATATTTATTAGTGTAACAAATCACAGGATAGAAGGAGAATACTAGGCATGCAATAATAGGACTCTATCAGCACTCAATAAAGCAAAAACTGGTTCTTCATTACAAAGACAAATTGAAGTAACTTTGCTGGGATTCAGATTCTTCTGAAAACCAGAGATTTGACACTCAAAAGATTCTTTTATTTGTTACTATCCTGTGACACTGTGAAATCATTTTTAAACATGAAGTGGAGTATGCAAAAACCTAAAACAAATGTATAAAGGTGACAGGAAAAAGTGGGACTGCAATATCAACTCTTATTAATCATATCACTGACATACTATGGTGTATAATAATGGGTTATACTGTTATCACTTTCTCACTGTCTTTTTTCTGTCATTTCATTTTTTTTTTCTATGGAAATACATATATCTTAGGCTTCAGTCAATTTTGTTGAAACACAACTGTTATGTAATGCAAAAGATATAAACATAACAATGAAACAAATTATTTCATTATTAGTTACCTTCCAAATCTAGTTTATTCCAGCAACTTAAAGAAAGTTAAAATACTACCATTTTCATCTTCATGTATTTGTGAAGTTGTATCTATTATTAGGAAGAATAAATATGCTAAGTTAACCTAACCACCCACAGCAAACACATAATCAAAAGCTTTTTCAACTTAATTTACCCAAAAGCTTTCATTAGAAGTCTGGGAAAGCAAGCATTCCGTAACAGTCCCCTCCCACACACACACCACACACAAGCCCATGGTCATATATACCTACTATACAAACTCAAATATTTTTTAAAAGTCTACAAACTGACTTAATGCAATGAGGAAGGGAGGTTGATAGGTGGAAGATGAAGATATCTAACTGGAATAACTGTTGAAAATGAGAATGAAATTCACAAAAGTTGTAATACCACTACTAAAAATGATTGTGGGGCCAGTGCTGTGGCACTGTGGGTTAACGCACTGGCCTGAAGCACCAGCATCCCATATGGGCGCTGGTTCCAGTCCCAGATGCTCCACTTCCAATCCATCTCTCTGCTATGGCCTGAAAAGCAGTAGAAGATGGCCCAGGTCTTGGGCTCCTGTACCCATGTAAGAAACCTGGAAGAAGCTCCTGGCTTCAGATCAGCTCAACTCTGGCTGTTGAGGTCATTTGGGGAGTGAACCAG